CAGCTTGCAAGCTTTTAAGATCTCAGTCGCTACTTGCCACAGTAGGAGGTGGAAAAATGTTTTGTGTAGTATGTTATGCCAATTGAGCTTGATGTCCTCTGAGACTATGGTCCTGAGGCCACAGGTTCAACTACTCGGTCCCTCTGGGTAGCTGGCTGTGACCAAGCAGTGACTGCAACCTTGCCCCTTGTCAGCTCCACTATACACTTTGGAATTCAGATCAGACACATAAAGATATAGGACCATTGTCTGCCAACCCTATATATGTTCTTGGGTACACTCCCCATTTCATAGACATACCTAATAGTTCAGCCTGTACACCCATCTATCAACCCATATACCTGAGTTTGCCTTCACTGACCATGCCATACTGTATGCGCAAAAGGGTTCATCTTTGTTGTCTGTACTTCCCACGTACCTCTCTATGTCTTTCTCTTCCTCAATGCCACTATATTGATCACTCACATTTGGTACATTTCCCTTCTCGTCACCCAAATCAAAACTTATCTCTATCTATCTAACAGTATTCCCTACTCTCCCCTCCCATCCCTGGTAACCAACAAAGAAGATGTCCTTCTATAGATAAATGTTTCCTTGACTTTTACAATAACGGACTAATACAATATTTGTCCTTTGGTGATTGACTTATTTCAATCAGCATAATGTCCTCCAAGTTCATCCACATTATGTGGTGTTTTGCAGATTCTACATTAAATTGGTATTTTTAAAAAGTAAGTCAGATCATGCCATTCTGCTTCGTAATTCTTTAATAGGAAGCTATCTCATTCAGAATAAAAGCCTCAGTCCTTTATGTCCCTGCAAGGCTTTAGCTGACTTTCTGTTGTCTTTCTCTTCCTAGTAATTCTACTCTAGCTAAGCTGGCTTCTTTGCTGAATTTCAAAAAATTAAAGCACTTTCCCTTTTAAAGGCTTTTGCTTCTACCTGGAATGGTTTTCACCCAGATAACCACATGACATATTCCTTTGCCTTCAGTTTTCTGCTCAAATGTTAGTTAATTAGCAAGGTGTTCCCTGATCAACTTATCTAAAAGAGCTTGCCTCTCTCACAACTCTCGCCCTATTTCCTGTTCTCTGCTATGTTTTTCTCCATAGAACTTAATATCTTCTGAAATTCTGAATATTTACTTTCTTATTGTTTGTCATTACCATCCTACTATCCTTTGGACATATTACAGTATAATTCCTTAAGATTAAAGACTTTATATTCTGCTGTATTCATCCACCTGGCACAGTACATGGCATGTAGTAGATGCTCAATAGATACTCATTGAGTTAATGAATTGGGGAAACAGATTGAGGTGATGAGTACCAGGAACAGTATTGTGTTGAGAAATACAACAGTGATGAAGATAGCCATGGACCCAGCCCGAGGAAGTTAGTGATTGGTGTGGTCTTATGTTGGTGTTTTAGGTGTGTCTGTACTCCAAAGGGGGCTTTTGAATATGTAAATCCACAACTAATATGAATGATTCTTTGTTGATGACATTAGGCAGCACTGAGACTTGTGGGAGAGACCTGGAAAAACACTGGATAGTTAGGTTTTAAGTGAGTAAGCAGTCTCCCTTGAGAAGTCTGGGCGGTGGTGTAATACATAGTAATGATCTCAGTGCATTGCTCTTCCAGATCCCTAGCGACTTCTAGCAGTCAGCATGAACCCTTAGTCATTACAGACATACAAGGCAGTTGTGATAAACATACTGAGAAGTTGAGAAATTAATTGGTTGGCATGACTGGGCATAGTTGAAAGAGCATGGCCCTTGAAGTAAGATTTGGGTCAGAATTCTACCTTTAGCACTTAATAGCTATGAGGATATGGGTGAGTTTTTAAATTAGCCAGAGTACCTGGTACCTAAGTGCTTAGTAAATGTTAGTTACCTTATTATTTCTTTCAATTTGCCTTTCTTACAGTGGCATAGAATAACATAGTGGCTAAGAATGCTTGTTCTTGGGATCATACTGTCTGAGTGTGGCTCCTGGAGCTATCTCTTGAGAAATAGTTTGTTTCCTTTGAGCTTCATTTATCTTAGTAAAACATGAATGACAGTAATATTTACCTCAGGGTTATGGTGAGGATTAAATGTGTAATATATATAATATGCTTAGAACAGTGCTCATTAGCAAATAGAAATTGTTTTAAATACATTATTAGCTGTTGAAGCACTATTTTAATGTGCTTCTTTTCTTAGTCTTCCTTTTTCTTATATTTGTTCTTAATCATTCTTCATTTTCCAGTTCTCACCTTTTTTTTAATTCTGAAAAGAAATAGCTCTGTCATGTTTTTTCCTCATAATTAAAAAAAAAAAATGCTACATGATCTCCTAAAGGTTTTAACACAGAAAAACAGAGAAAATGGTGATATTAACAAATCACCTGTTTGTGTTGGCGAGGATGTGGAGAAATTGGAATCCTCATTGATTGCTGGTGGGAATGCAAAATGGTACAGGCATGGTGGAAAATATTCCAGTGGGTCCTCAGAAAGTTAAACATAGAACTGCCATATGACCCAGCAGTCTGAATCCTAGCTGTATGCTTAAAAGAATTGAAATATATTTGCCACAAATGCAAAAAACACATGTGTTTTCTAAATAAATTCTGACATTTTTTCCCCCACTGGTGCATAGGCAAGCACACCCACCACCACATGTACATGCAGAAAATTTCACACATACATTTTTCTTAACAAAAATAAGATCATACTAGATATACTGTTTGTTGTTTCTATATGCTGTCGAGTCGGACCCGACTCACACCGACCCCTCCTTGGGTTTCCAAGGCAGTATCACTACGGAAATAGATTGCCCAACCTTACTTCCGAGGAATGGCTGGTGGGTTTGAACCGCCAGCCTTCTGGTTAGCAGTCAAGTGCATTAGCCTCTACGCTACCAGAGCTCACTTAATATAGATGATTTTTAAAATTATATTTCAAAGACTAGTACAAAAACAAAGACTAGTACAGTGAACTATAGATGAGTTTTACATATCTACTAAATATAAATGTACATTGGGATGAACTTCCTTATATATTTTATGGCTTTGTATTTTTCCCTTAAGTTAAATGTTAGGGACTGTTACTAATGTGTCAAACATGAGCATACATTTAAACCTTCTGATATACTTTCCATCCAGAAGTTTGTACCAGTTTATATTCTGAAAAGTAATACATGGATATCTTTACCACCATACTTGTTAACACTGTACATTAGCAATCAATCTAATCTTTGCCAATCTTATAAGAAAAAATTATATCCCAGTGCTCAATTTTTCATTTCATTGATTAAATCAGTGAAGTTGATTTATTATCCATTTGTGTTTCTTTGTGATTGATTTTTTTTGTCTCTTATGGTCAGAAGAAATGGTTTGTTATGAATTGAATCGTTTAAATGTATTTTAGTTTTTTTTTTTTATGCCTAAGAATATTGGTCTATCATGGTAAAAGTTCTGTTAGAACTTGAAAGAATGTACATTCTGTACTTATTTATTAGTTGTTGTTGTTGTTGTTGTTGTTATGTGTCATCGAGCCAGACCCGACTCATAGCGACCCCTCCTTGGGTTTTCCGAGGTGGTATCACTATGGCAGTAGATTACCCAATCTTCTTTCGGAGGAGTGGCTGGTGGGTTTGAACCACCAGCCTTCTGATTAGCAGTCAAATGCTTTAGGCACTATTCCACCAGAGCTCCCAAGTCTTGAACATGTCTAGTTAAATTTCTTCTTAAGTATTCTATGCTTTTCCTTCCTTTTATGAATGAGATTTTTGCAAATATATTTTATAATTGGTTATAGTTGGTATATAAAATTATTAACTTTTCTATATATATTTTTAGAACTGGGCATATTACTTCTCTTAATATGATAATGGATTTTTTTAGGGTTTTTTTTTTTTTTTGCCTCTTGGGTAATAATATGTTCTATAAATTTTGAAAATCTAATTCTTTCTCTCTAAATTTTATGCTATTTCCTTTTTTTTTACTGTGTAGTAGAGACATTCCACGGGAGTGTTGAATAATAGCAACTATAGTGGATATTTTATGTATATTTTCCAAGGGCTCTTTTTTTTCAAATCTTTTAACTCACAATAGGCACAGTCTGCCTTTATACTAACAAAGAAAGAAATAAATTTCTTTTTTGTCTGTAGCCCATTTTGTTTCAGAAAGGAAGGGTTGGGGAAAATAATCAGTAATTCAATTGGTGAAAAAGAATTACTCCCTTGAGCTCTTGGTAGTTTAGCCAAAAGAAATTACTTGATTTTTTTTCTTTTGGTTTTAGGTATGATTTTAATATCACAAATATTCTGTCTTGTCTATGATCATATGAGTCTAAGCATTCTATTTCTTTTGACCTCTACAATGTGCTTGTAGTAGTCCTATGCATAGAGTTGATATGAGACAAAGCCATTTTGATATTTTCTGAGGAATATCAGTTATTGGAAACTTAAATATACTTTGTCAACTTTAATCTTCGTGGTATTAGTTCAAAACATAATCTTGGATAAGTTCTTTAGATTGTTAGTAAAAATGGATAACTTTATTAAGTTTATAAACTATACCTATGGATAATTATACAGACTTTAATATATTAAAGCATCTTTAATTTTTCAGTGTCTTAGCAGATGAAGTAAATTCACCATTATCACCCCTCACATGGCAGGTAAATAGGAAATTAAATTACTATTATATCTATTATTTTGTTCTCATTTATTTAATTAAAAGAAATTCTTTCATCACAGCCCTTAGAAAAT